CATGAACTAGGGATCAAAAACCTGCAAAACAATGAAGTGCAACACACCCAAAGTAAGTCAATAGCACAGAAAAAAATCTAACTTTTTTAGGGTTATAAGAGGAAGATAAGCTTTTTAGGGTTTTAAGATTATAATTGGATTAGTTATGATATGCACTCTATGACTATAGATTCATGTAAGATTGAAGAAGCTAGGCCCTCACTGGCTCACTGCTAGCTTTTTTTTAGGAAAAAATTTTCATCTATTTCTCTTTGGGGACTATAATTATATGATAATAAAATTGATTAGCTATACTCAGATTTTACTTATCTATTTTATAAATTATTTTCTTTATTAGTCCCAAGGTTTTTACATGAATATTAGCATTTATTTTAAATATATTTTCACACAAATTCTATATTCAATATTTTTTCTCCTATTTATTTATTCAACTCTTTAATACCCTTTAAAAATATTAAACCATTTATATTTATTTACATATTAAATCACTATATTAAAAATAATGCAAGTGATTTAAAATAATTAAAAATGTTGAGATCTCTTATATTTTTTAAAATAGATGGCCGTATAAAAGAACAACTAACCGTCTTTTAATCACGTTTTTACCGACAAAATTATTAAGATCTGGAGGCTCCAGCCGAATAAAATAAATTAATCGTAGAACAAGCCAGCTGTCTCCTTTCCACTTGCCAGAAGCAGCCAAAACCGCACTTTCAGGTGGGCCCTGCCACCAGTACCCCTGACAGCTACAGTCGACTTCTCCGGCCTGCTCACTTCACCCGTGGCACGCGACTCAAACTCATCCTCACCGACCATCTTCAGATATGCTCATCACTGCCGTCCATCTTCATACTTATCTAAGAATATGGAAGCAGACCTTTTCCTTCTCGCCTAGCGGAGTAAATTCTCAATAAAATAAATTTCTTATGCTCGAATTCAGAACTTATATGATCCAATAAAATAATAAGCATTTAAAATGCAAAAAAAAAAAATAATTAAAATAATTAGATCGATTTTAAATTAGGAAAAATATTTTTTTAAAGTCGATGTATTATGAATTCTTCCAAGCAAATAAATAATTATGAAGGCTTTGTTAATAAAATTATATTAAAGTATTATGATGATTTTTTCCTAAAATAAATAGGAACATTCTTGTCAAAATTTTAGTAAATTAAGCTTCAAAATTATTTAATTTATTTTGAAAGTACTGTTTGACAAATGAAATTACTCATATATTTTTAAAATTAAATCAAGATATATAACTCTTTAGAAATTTTAGATGAAAAAATAAAAAAGGGGGAAAAATGCAAGGTAATTTTAAATATTTGTTTTTCTCATAATATTGGAGATGACGACCTTATAAGAGTGTGGGAAGTTGGTAGAAAATATTAGAGTCGGTATGAGATGAAAGACTTTTGGATGATTGCAGTCGATTGACAAAGATCTGATAGTGTTAATTGCACGGTGGAGAGCCAATTACGATGATTTGGCAAATGTGGTATGATTTTGCCATATAAATGCGGTGATGAGATGCTAGTGGTTGGGCAGTAATGATCCAACAATTGTTGGGAGGTGGCTATCTAACAGGGGCAATGGGGCAACAATGATCCAATGTTGGTGGTTGGGACTCGGGTGACACGGTTTAACGATAGCAATATTCTGATGACTGTGGTCAGGTGCTGCGGTTTAACGACCATAGTTTGTCGGCAATAGTCCGACAATATTGTTCAGACAGTGATGGTCTAACATTTGAGCTATGACAATGGAAGTGATTTGATAACCATGGTTGAGCAATACAAATTCCTGACAATAGTGATCGATTGGTGGGGCTATGTTCGGATGTAGCTCTGAGATTCTTCAAACTTTAGAGTTCTCTTAAGTTCTTGTCAAGATTCATCCCTTCATGTACCTTGATGACTATGTTGAAATAGGCCTTTGGATGGTCCTAAAATAATTCTAGAAAATTTCAGTTCAAACTTGCTTTGAGATTTGTGTCTTAATTATCAAGTGAAGCTTTGATGAAGTATCAATTTTAAATGAATTCCGTTGCATCAATTTTGTTAAGACCGGTGAGCAAATTAATCAGAAACATTAATAAAATCAAGATTAATCTGTGCTTTGAAAGTGAGGATCTCGACCAAAATAAATATCTCTAGTATTGGACCCATTGCAGCTATTCGTATTGGATTTCATGACTGCGATGAAATTAGACGTAGCTAATCCTTTCAGTACAAAGAACTGAAGCAAATGACCAAATGCTTTTATGACCAAACAGAAAAGTGTTAGCTAGACTTGCTGAATATTAATACTGCCAAAGATTGTATTAATTATTCAAATATCTCTGCAAGTATTCATATTTTTTTATTGGAATTGATAAATATAATATTATCATATAAATAAATTAACATCAAAATTTTCTTTTAATATTTGTTGGTGAATGTTGTACGGCTTTAATTTTCTTAATTGAGCCACATGATAAGTAAAAAAACAAGTATTCATCAGCCTAGCTTAATTTGTTTAATAGAAAATTTTTAACAGATTCTAATTTATTTTGTATCTAAAGAATGTTAGTTTTATGACATGAATCTTTATTTCATGCATAAAATATTTTCTTTTAATAAATATTAATTTCTAGATAATAAAACTAAATTTAAAATACATATATAATAAAATTGGGCGATTTAGGCTTTGTATGGGGCGGGTTTTTTATTTATTCTTAAAGCAGCTTTCTAGCTCAAAAATTAAAACTTTTAGACTAAAATGCTGCTTTATAAAGTAATAAGAAAGTCGTCCCAAATGAAGCCTTAGTGATTTGTAAAGTTGTTTCTGAAAAAATAATTTTTTAAAGCTATGGTATATACCAACTTTATAGTACAAATTTTTTTGAAAGCACCAAAAAAATAGTGACAAAATAGAAATTGTGGTTGCAATTTGAAAAGAATGCTCTCACAAATGAAGGCTTACATCAAATTTAAAACTATTTTATTTATAAATCTAATATATATAATCTTGTTTTGAGGAAGAACGTCTTAGTCGGTAGAGTGTGCATTTTATGTCTTAGTTTTGTAAAGATTATGCACACATAGATGAGAGTAGTAAGATCAGTTACACCACCAAAAAATCACCTTGATCGAGCATGTATCTTGAGGCATATTGAAGTTGCTATCTTCCAAAGTTAAATTCAGATCATCCTGAACTACAATTTCAGCTAATTTAAGTCAAATTGAACACCTCAGTAAGATGAACCTAATGACTCCAAAATTGTTCTAATCTTAGCCCAAATGGGGTTGAATCAAAGGCTTATAACATATTGGGAAGATTTAGAGCATTAATTGAATGACTAGATAATTTTAAAATAAAACATGCTTATAATCAAATCAAGCGGCTCGACGAGATGAATTCAAAGAGCCCAATATCACTTAATTCCAACATAATTAAGGCCAATTAATGATGAATGAATGTTCTATGATCGATGGAATTAATAAGACCTCTCAAATGGATCACTCCAAGATTACCCTTGATCATTTTCATAAAACAGAGCATACCACTTTCAAAGTTTATAAATATACCCTCACTCTCTATATAAAGAGAGACATTTTGGGAAGCTTGGAATTGGGAAAGAGATCAAGCTACCAGGCATAAAGAATCTTAAAGTTTCACCTTGGCACCACCGCCAGAGAACCCTTATCAATCCGACCACCGCTGCTAAATCTTTGCCCTACCATCGTCGTCGGACCTCCATCCAGCCACCACCACCATGTCTCCCAATGACCAAAGTTATCTGACTACAGTCCATTCGATCGACCTCCATTGCCCCACTATGGTGCTTCCGACATAAGCTGTTCGCCGACTATTGTCCCTCTAACCACCATCATTCGTCATTTGTTGTCCCTCCAGCCAATGTCACTCAATCACAATCATTTTTAACTCCATTTTCTGCTAACTACGATCCCTCTGATCATCGTTGAACAACTACAATCCTTTTGGCCTATACTGCCCACCAACTATGGTCCCTCTCCGAACATTGTCGCTCGACTACAAACTTTTCGACTTCTATCATTCGCCTATTGTGGTCCCTCTTACCATCGTCACCTGACTACGATCCTGCCGACCTCTACCGCTCGTCGAATACGAACCGTCTGACAAGTGTCACATGACTATGGTCCTTCTAACCTCTTTCACTCACCAATTAGGTCCCTTCGACCATCGTCACCCGACTACGGACCTCCATCAAAGGTCGTTGAACACCTTCACTTAACTACAGTTCTTCTGACCTATGTTGCTCACTGACTACTATCCCTTTGGCCACCATCAACCAACTATAGTCCTTCCGACCTTTGTTGCCTCTGCCTACGGTCCCTCCGACCATCATTGCCAGCCGACTATGACCCCTATGACCACTGTTGCTCTACAATTACGGCCCCTCCGATCATCATTGCCCGTCAAGTATGGTCCCCCCAATCTTCGACCTTCATTGCTCGCTGACTATAGTACTCCTCGCCACTATAGTCCATGAAATCAAAATTCATATAACCCCCTCGTCTTCATTATTGAGGGTTTTTTAATTTTTGACACCAAAAAAATTGATAATATAACTAAATTATTAAATATTTACAAATATAATAATTTAAATTTTTTATCTAATAATTTAATTATATTTATCATCAAAATTTTATTATAATATTTAATAATTATATTGAATGATAAATTGATAATATATGACATATAAAAATAATTAAACAATATGGTAAAATCAATGTAATGGTGATAAAAAATTAAATCTGATTGAATTATTTTCATTTTATAAAACTGGGAAATCATTTTTGTGGCTGCCTTTCGTCCACGTGTCATCCTACTATTCGGTGTCAATCCCGTCCGCCAACTCTCGAGAGGATAACGCCCTCCCCCACTCCCATATCATCCCTGTGGCAGAGCACAACCCCATTCTCCATTTTCTCCCCGCTACGAGAAAGAAACAGCAGAACCAGCAAGCGAGCTCGCGCGGGCGCGCGAGCGAGATAGTTCGAGAGAGAGAGAGAGAGATGGGTGTATCAGAAGCAGGAAACGGCGGAACTTACTGGGGTCTGCGTGCACGCTCGTGCGACGCGTGCAAGGGCCCAACCGTGGCTTCGGCGATCCTCTTCTGCCGCGCGGACGCGGCGTTCCTCTGCGGCACGTGCGATGCTCGCGTGCATAGCGCGAACAAGCTAGCCTCACGGCACGAACGAGTTTGGCTCTGCGAGGTCTGCGAGCAGTCGCCGGCCGATGTTACCTGCAAGGCTGACGCTGCAGCCCTTTGCTCCTCCTGCGACGCTGACATCCACTCAGCAAATCCCCTTGCTAGCCGCCACCAGCGCATACCTATCGTCCCCTTCTTCGATTCTCCCACCGCTGACTCCACAGCCGCCGCTGACGGCTGCCCCGATTCTTTCTTCTCCGGTGACGCCGACACCGACACGTCATGGATGCTTCAAGTTCAGCCGAAGGATCCACCGCTCGAGATTCCGAAAACGGCGAACTGCTTCTTCTCCGAAGTCAATCCGTACTTAGATCTGGAGTACGCGTCCTCGGTGGACGCCGGGATGTATCAATCGGACAGCGTCGTGCCAGCCGGCGGTGGAGTTCCGACAAGTTTCATGCTCGATTTCGCTAAACCAAAGAATTCTTACACTTGCTACAACATCAGCCCCAGCGTAAGCTTACCGAACTGGCAGGATTAATTTGATCTGCTCTGTTTTTTTGGGGATTGTTCTGATTCGGTGAAAATTGATTGCAGATGTCATCATCGGAAGTCGCCGTGGTGCCGGACGGCGAGGGATGCGCGACGGCTGACGCATCCACCTGCGGCGGAGCGAGGTCTTCATCGGCGACGGCGGTGTCGGTGATGGATCGAGAGGCAAGGGTGATGAGGTACAGGGAGAAAAGGAAGAACAGAAGGTTCGAGAAGACGATACGTTATGCTTCGAGAAAGGCATATGCGGAGACGAGGCCGAGGATAAAGGGCAGGTTTGCAAAGCGGACGGAGATCGAGGCAGAGGTCGACAGGATCTACTCGTCGGCTGCGGCCGCCACGGCGGCTTTCCTGGCCGCGGATCCTCTATATGGCGTCGTTCCTTCCTTCTGAGATCTCCATTGATCTCTGCTGGTCTATTATGTAATCCTCTTGTTTTGGATTTCTCAGTTTAGGTGTTCCCGGAGCTGCGACGAGGAGCAGCTCCGTTTTGCTCTAAACTCCATAATTTGTCTGTAAATTACGCTGTAGACCCTTTCTGCTTTTCAAATCTGAATCTCGATCGCCATTGGTGGTTCGTTGCACTTGCGCACCTCGCTTTGGCCAATCCTGCATGTGTCCGTACGATTTTGGTTTGGGAATCGTGAAACGGGAAACGATAAAGGAATCACGTCACCACGCGCCACGTATTTTTCTTAAGCGCTCACATACGTCCTTTGGCGAAGTCGTGGGGGCGGGTTTCATTTTGGGTTACTTTGGATGATTAATGATAATTACTCGGTTTGTAAACTTTATGAGTTCCTAAAAGTTGGCTTTAGGAATAAAGCTATACAACAAATTAATTTATACGTGGAATGAATATTCTCGATTAATATAAAATATATCATCATATATCTAATATTTTCTTTCATTATGTCATATATGTATTTAGATAAGTAAATATTTCGAAATTCTTAAATTTTAAATAATAATAATAATAATAAGTTTTTATTGGAGGAATGTAATATTGTTCATGGGAAAATTTTCTGACTTGTTAATACAATTTCTTAAAAGAATAATGCATAATAATTATCTTTGTTATGGCATAGCATATCATTTTTTTTTTCTAATTTTATTGACTAAAGTTTAAACAAACGTTTTTAAAATTATTGTTGATAATCGCAAAAAAATTAATTTGATTAAAGTTTTATTTGGAACGATTTTTTTCTATTTCTTAAAGCAACTTTATAATACAAATTTTTTAATTTTTGTACTAAAAAATTACTTTAAGAAGCAGTAAGAAATGCTAAGTCATAGAGCTGAAATTTTTTCTGGTATGATATTATCTATTGAATATATTTTAACCTTTTTTTTTAGAATTTTATTCATAGAGATTTCGGAAGTTCATTTTATCTCATTGAAGCGTGGTGGTAGAAGGAAGATTAATGGATTAAAAAAAAGAAGATTTATGACAGAATACACTGATGCAACAATTTTCAGAATGTGTCTTAAAATATTTATATTTGAGTTAAGATTAATGAATTTATGATATTAGATACAACACTATATTAACATAAATTTATGCACATTAAAGCACATGATAATGTGTTTTACGTTAGGATGTATGGACATTATTTTTTTCCCTTTTTATTATCTTAGCATATAGCCATATATCATATTGAGTTACTTTGATACACACGTCTTTAAGCCATGAGCAATTATTACATCCGGTGTCCGAATGCGTTCAGAGATCAATAACCACGTGCCACGTCATCTAAAACTCTGTATTTTGAACTCGGTATTGCTCGGTATACATTCGGACCATTTGGTTTTTGACCGGATATAATAATTTCTCCTAGGCAACAATACATAATGCCAGCAGCAACGAGTTCGCACTTAAAGGGGTCAAAATACTCCCTCATTAGTTAAAGACTACTACCACGATGGGATATATCATTAATAAAAGCTAGAGGGAATAAATAGCACAAATAATAATTCTATCAATTGTTGCTTTCTTTTTGTTATCTTATTTCTATTGGCTTCTTTTGTTTGATATAGTTAGAGTGCACGAGACAGGTGTCGCCATATGATAGACTTAGTTTATTTTATCTTCATTGAGAATAAAGAATTATTAAAGCATATCAATACTGTATTCACTTTTCGAAAAGGTTATAAAAAAATACCAAGCTCTTTATTCTTCACTATTCCATATATTTTCTCTTATTCTTCCCATTGTGTTGCTCATTGGAACATTAACCGGCCACAGATAGAGTGGTCAGGAACCCTCAAATTGTCATTTACCCATTTCATTCTCATTTAATTAAATACATGTAAAGAAGTTTTCTAAAAAAAAAGTAGCAAATTATCCTATAAATTTTAAAAATTAAAATTTTGAATTATGTATAATACAATATATGCAATATTGGATATTATTTTTAAAATAATTGAAATTAAAAAAGGCCAGCTTCCGGAGAAATTATGTGCAATCAACGGACCGTCTGGAGACGAAACAAGATGCACCATGTCATCTGATACACAACGGCACACAAATACTAATACACAAAAAAATGATATGACGTGTCCTTATTTATCTTCGAACGGCGTCCGATGACCCAAGCAAGAAGAGAAGAAGTAGAGAATAAAAAATAAAATTAAAAAAAAAAGAAGAAGAGAAGAAGAGAAAGAAACGAAGAAGCTCCTCCTCGACCATCGTCTGAGTTTCGTCGAATCACCACCTGACGTCGTTGTTCCGCCGGACCACCACTTGAGGCCCTCACCCTTGCCAGACCACCACTTGAGGCCCTGAGCTCCGCCAGACCACCACTTGAGGCCCTCGCCTCCGCCATACCTCCACTTGAGGCCCTGAGCTCCGCCAGATCACCACTTGAGGCCCAGACTTCCGCCAGACCACCGCCTAACATCGTCACTCCGCCAAACCA